AACTGAAAATATGGATGGAGGACAACAGAGCTGCTTCATGGAAGAAGAACCTCAGCTTAGCCGGTTAGCCTTTAGCATTAGCCCCGGCACTATCACCAGCTGGGCGGTATGACCCAAATTTTGTATCACTGTATTTTCAACAATCACACCGGTTTCATGGTATTTGACGGTATGTACAGTATTTTTTTTCCTCACAGCTCAGCTGATAATAAAATGTACAAACTTTGCTTATTGACTTTTTTCTTTTACTGTACCTCGGTATCACTGTTTCCCTCCTCTTGTACGTCTTCTTTGCGTGGTTGTAGACAGTAATCATGCATTTAGGTCCGATCATGAAGGGTTGAGAAAAAAATTATCTGGTCTATCTATCGTTGCGTGTTCATAGAACAGCTACACTACAAAACTACCCCCCCCMCCMCCCCCCCCGGCTTTTCACAATAGAAGCACGCTAGAGTCTCCATGCAACAATTCAATTCAAATTCAAAAATACTTTATTGATCCCAGAGGGAAATTAGGTAATAACGTCTCCATTATAACGTAGCGCGTTAAATCTAACCGTGCACGTCACTGAAGAGTTGTTTACTCTTCAGCGATGGTGAAAACGAGATTTTTCTTTTACGTCAGACCATATAAGCAGCTGAAACACACCACCCGCCGCCAGTTGTTCCAACAATAATGTTAGCATGCTAATGCGCTTAGTGGTGCTGCAAGGAAAAGTGTCCCCAGGGAAACAGCTCACTGGCGGCCGTGAAGAAACGTTCCACACGTGTTCAGGCTATTTACACCGGTATTCAGAAAAGTCATATAATAACAAAAATAAAAATCGGTCTTCGGTACAAAACGGTATTCCGCCCAGCACTAGCTCAGCGCTACACATTCTCCTCTCGTCACTGAGGTCCTCCATCCACATGACAGAGAGGGGAACACAAAAATGACTCAGCCTGCAACTGAAAATATGGATGGAGGACCTCAGTTTAGCTTGTTTGTCGCGCTAGCACCGAGCTAATACATTTAAGGCAATAGAGCGTCGGGGCTAACGCTAAAGCTAACAGGCTAAGCTGAGGTTCTTCTTCCATGAAGCAGCTCTGTTGTCCTCCATCCATATTTTCAGTTCCAGGCTGAGTCATTTCTACCTTCTCCTCTCTGTCAACGCTCTCTGGTTTCATTTAAAAGAGTCGATCATCAGATATTGTCCAAGATTAACCTTCAGGGTGGATATAGCTCGCTAGCAGCCTCGCACCGAGGACCTATCCACGTCATCATTTACCCAGAATGCTTTGCATGTAAATAAAATGGCTCAGTCAGTGTTAAAATATATTTTAAAAAATTTACAAAACTAAACAGCCTGCAGTATTTTTACAGTGTTTATTTGATAAACATATATTTTAACTGTAAAATAAAGTCTAATGTTACAACTACTCTGGGATCCCTTTAATTTGCTTCAAGCCCCACCCGTCCTCCAACTTCCACTCCTGTTTGAGAGAGGGGGGTACGTTTTACAGCGGTGCCTGCAATGCCTCACCATACATTTCTTTCCCTTAAATCCAAATGCCTGGGTCATTGCTGACTTGTAATTTTCCACATTCTTCTGGTTTAAGATATTCAGAACACAGAACACTGGCAAGCGATGGAGCAATGAAGTCAGCCTGTTTGACTTGAACAAACTTTACCCAGGTCTCCTGAAGGTTTTAGTTTTTGGTGAAATATTAGACACATACTCCCTCCATGGGTGTATTACTGCAGAGCTGGGCAACACGGTGGCTAAATGAGAAAGATAAGTTGATGTATGTTGTA